AACAGTGCTGGAGCCATTCATCTGGCTCAGAACACCGAATTCCATCGCCGAACGAAGCACATTCGAGTGCGAGAGCATTACATTCGCCAGGAAATTCAAGCTAAGCATATCTCGCTGCAGTTCCTTGGTACTGACAAGATGCCAGCTGACGGCCTCACCAAGGCCATACCAAAGGCAAAGTTTAGCTCGTTTTTGCAGCTATTAGGACTCGTTGAAGTCAAATAGGGGTTCAGGAGTGCTGTAATACTCCAAGGTCTAGGTGATTAGACTGTTAATTATAGTTGTGTGGTAGTGATGCCCTCAGTTTGAGAGGGCGTGTTGGATATCGTACCAGGCTGAGGCTTTCGGTGATAAATGCGCTGATAGGTGGCTTCATGGCATTCACCTGGCGCCACTATCAGATAATTATCTGGTCACTTTAGCGCCATTATTGTATGACTATCTGGTCAGCCTGATGGCATACCTGTACATATATATGGGGACTTCTCCCCCAGAGATCTTCTTCTCTTCCCTCTTCTAATATAGAACGGTTTGAATTCTCACAAATTCTCTCTGTGAGCCCCTGTCCCTCATGCACCACAGCATCCTGAAGCCAGCCACGATGCCTCCGCCCACGTATACAGAGGATGATGTGGTGGATGCCTACCTAGACGTCACAGATAATGGCATGTCAGTGAGAAAATCCAGCCAAAAATACGGCATCCCGGCCAGCACGCTGTCAGCACGCATAAGGGGGAGAGGGACTAAAACAGAAGCTCACACCACCGAGCAGAGAATTTCTCCTGAGCAAGAAAGCAAGGTAGCAGCCTGGATATTGTGCCAGGAGACTTTGGGGCTTGCCCCCTCTCACTCAGCCGTCAGGGAAATTGTGGTAGAACTCCTAAAAAGAAAGGGGGATTTCGCACCACTTGGGAACCACTATATGGACAGCTTTAAACGACGCAACCCTACCATTCAGACTAAAATCGGCAAGCGAATGGAATCTGCTCGGTTTAAGGGGTTTACCCCTAAGTCTGTGAACTGGTTCTTCAACATCTTGGAGGACTACGGCTGGGTGAAGCCAGAAAATACGTACAATGTCGATAAGGGCGGCATCATGTCGTGTTTTGGTAACTCTTTCGAGCCCCCTACCCTCACAGTCAACTAACTACCCTTATAGGCATTGATTCCCTAGTTCTGGGAAGTTCTGAGACGAGGAAAGCTTTCCTAAAGAGCCCCCAGGGCCGCTTGTGGACATCTTTCATCAAGACCATTTTAGCTACCGGTAGAGTACTCAAACCAGGCTTGATTTTCAAGGGAAAAGATCTCCAAGCGCAGTGGTTCCTTGAGGAATTCCAGAAGATAGCCGACTGGTACTATATAACGTCGGAAAACGGCTGGACCAGTAACGATATCGCCTGCCAGTGGCTTGAGCACGTTTTCATACCACAAGTGGATGAAATTCGTGGCCAGGAGCAGTGGGAACCAGTCCTTTTGATCCTAGATGGCCATGGTAGCCATACCTCCGTACGTACACCAATTTTTTCTATTTATTTACTGGTTGTTTGATTTATTCCGATTTAAATAGCAACTGACTGTAGAAAAGGACGAATTTATGATGCGGTGTTATTTTGCCAACATCTTGCTGTGCTTTTTCCCAGCACACACCAGCCACGGAATGCAACCACTGGATAACGGCCCCTATAACGCCCTTAAGTCCTACTACCAGAGATTCCTCACCCAGTTAAATTCTCTGACTGATTCTTCCCCTGTTGACAAGATCAACTTTATCCGCTGTTACAGCAAGGCAAGGGACATGGCATTTACGCCAAAAAACATCCGCTCGGGCTTCCGAGTGACGGGATGCTACCTAATTAGCCGCAAAAAGTGTCTAGACTATCCAGAAATCCAAGAAGACAAGCGGAAGACCCCTGAGCCGGAAGAACAGGAAGACTCAGAGCTGGAGGACCAACAGACCCCTACCACGAGCCGGCAAATCCAGGATTTCGGGAGGAACCGTTCCCCAGCCACTCGGCTGAAGTTCCGGAAGATCTCCCATGCTTTTGAGAACCAGGAGACGGAGCTGGCCATAAAAGACCAGAAGATCAGGGCCCTGGAGGCTGAACTGGAGCGGCTACGGCCCAAGAAGAGGAAAAAGATACCAAATCCCAACAAAAAGTTCATGACAATGGTAGAAATACTAGCCCAGAGTGGTGATCCGTTAGTTCCGGTTGCTGTAGAGTCTTCTTCTTCTTCTTTAGAGTCGGAGGTTGTTGAAGACGAGGGTGAGGAGGACGAGGAGCTTACGGACGCTGAGGAGGCTGTAGAAGCCCCTGTTGCAGAAGCCCAGATGACTAGATCCGGGCGGTCAATCCGGGCGCCGGCTAGATACGTCGATTGAGCAGCCAAAACACCACAGAATGATAATTTTGCTGATTTTTTTGACCCTATACAGCCTCAAATGCGTGTAAGTGAGTAGGGGGGTCTTTTGGTGGTGGTGGCGGGGTTTGGCTGTGCCGGTAGTGGGGGTGTGCCGGTTCGGGGGGTCGGATGGTAGATGTTAACGACATGTCCCCTACCAAAATACCTAATTGAGCTATATGACGTGATGGGCGGTGTTTTCTCCACAAGGGACCCCCGATCAGACTAGGATACTTGTAACTGCATATTCACGACTTCGTACTGAAACAGAGTCAGCGTTACTATTCTGCCAGGCGTGTTCTTGTACTACATATCACTTCCTGACGCACGCTTGCCCTATGAGCAACAGCAGCAATCTTCGAAGGAGACGCAAACAGCCACACCTACCAATTTTCATAGGCCTACCTATTTTCGCGGTATAAGGGAAAGGTAACGCCTTCGACGGCATGCGATACAGGCAACAGCATCAAAACCTGCGAAAAGCACAACTGCTTTGGTTCGCTACCACGCAAGAGTAGGCACGAAGTTTGACCCCGGTCCGAGACGAAATGTATTGCCGCGCAATTTATAACGCTAACGAGCCGGCAGCATAATCCCCGACAATGTTCGCCGCAGGTCTCATGTGCAAGATGTAAGGTGCGCATGACGTGGAACTGATGGGGATTGCTACCGAGAATCTCCGTCGCCTTTCTGCAAGTTTGTTCAGGGTATCTTGCAAACCTCCACTGAGCTCTGACTCCCTTCCTCATGTAGATACCTTCTTATCGTATGCCACGGTTTGACTCCTCACGACAGCCCTGAATACTTCAACAAGAACCCGTTACAGCATTATCAGTCTGTACGGAGCCGAATTACCGCGTCAGTGCCGAGCAATGCAACGAGATATTCGAAAACAAAGCTGACAATTGTACTTTACGAACACGGCAATCAATCCGCAGATGAGTAAGTCCTTCCCCTGATAGCAACTTCGCAGGCATTGGTGTCCGCATAGGCCTCATGGTGCTTTAGACTTGATTTCACTTCTCGTCTGCAAGTACTGGTTCGTGCCCACAATCCGAAGAAGCTCTCGGACCAGACTGAGCAAAACAGCACCTTCTGCATTGGAACCTGCACAAACCCAGCTACGCGGAGACGAGGTATTCGCTGTTACGTCCCGAGTGACATATTTATACGTGACTCATATTCAGGAGGCGGAGGGAAGTGGAAGATACTAAGATGAGACAGTGTCGCAGCACCTCAACTTCCAAACCCATTCGCCGTAATGAGTGCCACGGGCTCCTCTGCCGAAATAGATGTACAAGTCCTTCGGTCAAGCTTCTTGAGAGGTTCTTGATCAGTCTTTAGGGTATGCGAGGCACTACCGGTAAAAGTAACTTTGGGCTACCTTCCAACCCTTTCTTGCCCATGGATAATCAAACATGACAATGTGAACGAGTTCCTTTCGTCGGATTTGATCACTCTCGACCAGATCATGGCAGAGTGTGTTATCTAATCAAGCTGCTGGAGATCATGATGACGACGGTCTGCAAGATCGCGCCGCGGGCCTACACCTTTGTCTGTTGCTTCGGCCATTGGGCCTCTCGAGAAAGGATACGTTAGTACCACGTGCGTCGGAAACGCTTACGACGTGAATGGAGTGCTACAATTCTACAATGTCCCAGTTCCGAGAAGCACAACTCCAGGCTGCTCCTGCTGTCGAACCTTGGTGCAATGAACGGGTCTCAATGTCTCTTAATAGAGAGAATATTACATGGTTTGGCATATCTTGCGGGCCGTGATGGAGGACAAAGCGGTTGTAAACCCGGTCCGACCCACGTGGGGGTAACGTGGGAGAGGCTCGGCTCACCGTTTACTGGGGGTCAAAGCGGCCCCCCTTTTGCCCCTGTCTGCCCCTATCGAGCCCCTGGCCATTCCGTGTTCCTGGCCATGCCCCACTGGATCGGACCATTCCACTGCTGTCTTGGCACCTGCATCCCGAACCAAAAGAATTCGACTTAGCATGAACCAACATGCCGGCCGACCAGCACAGACTTTGGCCTACCTAGTCGAAGATGTTGTTATTGGTTCTTGTAGGATCGTGCAAAGCAGAAGACCAATTTCGCGTGGCGGAGGAGTAGTTGCAAGCAAAGTACGCACCGGAGAAATAGTTCTGCTCTACTCGGCAAGCCGGAGAATAAGATGCAGATTGTGCCCACTTACTCTTAGCCGCTCGGGCCCGTCAACGCGGATAGTCGGGTCTGGCAACTTGCCCAACACTGAATTGTTACCCGTGTTGAGATACATCGTGCCTGAAGTTTGCATATGGGACCGCAGGGGTCGGCCATGAATCAGGTTCGTGATTCAGTTTACGGGTTTCTACCAGCAAGGCCTATACGGTATATCAGATGGCATTTTTCCTCCCGGCTGTTCGTTCTGCGTTCCTGCACTGTAGGCCGCTCTCTGGCCCCCCTCCCTTGTTTCTGTCGTCATTCGTTTGAACAGTCCCTCGTTTCTTAATAGACTTCGATTTGAAGTCATCTTACTATACTCAACTCAGTCGATCCTTTATTCTCGTTCATCATCCTCTTCCATCGTGGACTGCTGGTTTATCAACCGACAGCATGGTCCGCGTCGATGTTCTCAAGGCTTCTGCCTCTTTCCTATGTATCGCAGGCGGGAACGCTGCTGCCATCAAGAGGCAAGACGTCATGGCCACAGGCACAAGCCTCGCCAAATGCCCAGTGAAGATGGCGGACTACGACACGAAGTACCGCATCTGTCCCGACACAGACTTCGTAGGCACCAGCAACCAGATTATCGACGGGGTAGCCGACGTGGATGCTTGCGCCAAGAAGTGTGCGCAGACGGACGGCTGCGAGAAGGCCGTCTTCGATACCAAGGGGAAGGTCTGCCACGTCAAGGACACCTACAATGAGGCCACTCTGCTCTGGAAGGTGAACGACCAATTCACGACCATCCAAGTCGAGGCAACCATCGACGTCGCCAAGCAGGGCAGCTGGACCGACATTATCAGACTGCCCGTGATTCCCGTCACCGCCTATATCGTACCCGAATTCCCCGAGGCCTCTCGCATGTTGGTCTTTTCCAGCTGGGGCGACACCACCTTCGGTGGCGAGTCTGGCTACACGCAGTTCGCCGACTACAACTTCAAGACCGGCGCCACGTCGGCGCTGACCGTGACGAACACGCACCACGACATGTTCTGTCCGGGCATCAGTTCGCTGGAGGACGGCCGCATCCTCATCACCGGCGGCTCCGACGCCGACAAGACGAGCTTCTACAACCCCGCCACCAACGCATTCACCGAGGGTCCCGTCATGGAGATTGCCCGCGGCTACCAATCTCAGACCACCCTGTCCAACGGCAACGTCTTCACCATCGGTGGATCATATTCGGGCGGCCGGGGTGGCAAGAACGGAGAAGTGTACGATCCTGCCACTGACGCCTGGACCCTGCTCGACGACGCCTTGGTCGAGCCCATGCTGACTACCGACCACGAACGCATCTGGCGAGAGGACAACCACGGCTGGCTGTACGGCTGGTCCAACGAATCGGTGTTCCAGGCCGGGCCCAGCAAGACGCAGCACTGGTATGGCACGACGGGCGACGGGTCCGTCAAAGAGGCCGGAGTCCGCGACACAGTAGATGCCATGTGTGCCAGCAACGTCATGTACGACGCCCTGAACGGCAAGATTTTCAGCGCTGGCGACGCCCAGGACTACGACAAGAGCGCGGCCTACACCAGCGCCCACATTACCACGATCGGCGAGCCGGGCACCGCATCCAAGGTCGAGCGCGTCGCCGACATGTCGTACCCGCGCGGCTTCAGCAACGCGGTCGTGCTGCCCGACGGAACCATCCTCATCACGGGCGGCCAGCGCAAGTCGCTCGTCTTCACCGACACGGACGGCATCCTGACGCCCGAGCTGTTAGACCCGCAGACCAAGCGGTGGACGAAGATGGCGCCCGAGGCCGTGGCGCGCAACTATCACTCCGAGTCCCTGTTGCTTCCCGACGGCACGGTTTGGAGCGGCGGCGGTGGCATGTGCTACGTCAGCACGCCCGGCGCGTCGGACTCCGGCTGTGATACGTCGGTCAACCACGCCGACGGCCAGATCTTCTCTCCGCCGTACCTGTTCAACGCCGACGGCTCCGCAGCGCGCAGGCCCGTGATCACGTCGCTCGCCGAGACGGCCGTGCCCGTTGGCGGCACGCTGACGGTCAACGTCGAGGGCAACCCGTGCGTCAGCTTCGCGCTGGTCCGCATCGGCACTGCCACGCACCCGATAAACACCGATCAGCGCCGCATCCCGCTGACGGGCCACAAGCGGGCTGGCGGGAGCACGTACGATATTGCGCTGCCTGAGGACAGCGGCAAGCTGCTGCCGGGCCACTACTATGTCTTTGCTCTGAACAAAAGGGGTACGCCTAGCATGGCTAAGACGGTGCGGATCACGCTCTGATGGATAATGGAAGAACGGTGCTGTTATATTCAACTCTTAATGTAATCTCTAAACATTTAATACATACCTGTTCCAGTAACACCTTGGAAACATCTGAACGTACAGAAAATGCTGGTAAATTGGTCTACAAATGTGCCAAAAGAAATAGAATGGGTGTGGGTTTGTCATATGTTTCTTTGGACTGAGTCTGCCGATGTGACCACGAGTGTGAGTTGACTCCGCGCTTGGTGAAGCTGGGTCCGAGGTATGGCTGGTGAATGGCTTTTGCCCGTTTGCGGGTGACCAGTCGCGGCTTCGTGGAAGCGAGACTGTGCTAATGTGTCTTCGTTCGGTAAACTTATCACTACTCGACTAGCACTGGTGTGGACGCGGTTTATGTATTTTCTTCGCCCGACCGTAATCCGAACCAGGTTGCACGTCATGGGGCTTACTGGATTAACAACCCTCCTGGATGATGCATAACTGAAGCGGTCTGTCGAAGACCGAATTTGGGTCTTTTTATACTAAAAGCGAAACCGGTATCTCTTCTGTCGTTGCCAGTGGGTGATATATGCGCCGAGAAATCAGAGTGTGTAACGAAAGGTTAAGGCATCGGTAGAGTCCTCTAGCGACCTGAATTCGGTGTATTCTACTTACAGAGTTGATGTAGCGAATAGTGCCGACACCCCCTATCGGGCGAAGGCCGAATTTCGCATCTCTCGTCGTATCTCCGAGCACGACATGACGGAGGTGCTGGGAAGCTTGACCATAGCTACATCGCCATTTGCTCTAGTAAATTTCTAGGTCTAGTGCCGACATGTTACCTCGGTGGCAAGGAAGTGGTTCAGAAATCTTCATCGTCCACCTACAAGTTGTTTCGCAGTCGTTACACAGACATGAAGGCCTCGAAACATCCAAGCAGAGGCGATATGCTGAACAGCGATATTTTGAGCTTGTAGAACTCAGTAGCTAAGAAAAGGGGGGAAAGCCACCGGCACGGGGCTGTTAACGCATGGGAGTTCTTGGGCATTATCTGTTCTCCTTGGGAATTGAGGCGGCGGCACAGCAGGGCACCTACGCAACGTTTAGGACTGAGCCACAACTAAGCACTACAGTCTCATCGGTTTTGGTCTGGTTAGATAGCTCATCTCCCGGGTATATATGTGACCACACCCTTTATCCGCAGGTAAGACACTACTAGGAAAATAGCACGTTACGAAGGGAACAGGAGAGCATGACACTAGATATTCCAGAACTAGAACTGGAGTCATAGGCTCATCCTACGCACAACCAGAGGATAGACCATCAAGCTACTTGTCAACTTAAGCATCCGAGACCGTATATATATATGCCAAGAGGTAGCCCGAGACCAATGACTCGGATGAGCAAAACCGTCTCCGGAGGATTGACCCACTCCGACGACCAACAGGAAATATGGGCACTCACTAGAAACCATCTGCGGCCGCCGTATAGCACTCCGTACCGATGACTCAACGGCCCAGCAAGTTCCCCTCCCGGGCACACCCTTGCCTGACGGGACATTGTCTTTGTGCTTCTCGTCAGCAACGAGGATCCACGCTAATTAAAACAATAACAAATAACGAGAGACGGAATGGGATCTATAACCAAAGACAGCAGTACACAATGGCTTTGTGCCATGTACAACTGTGAAATTTCCTTGAACCCGTTCTTTGTGTTAAGGGAGAACGGAAGTCAGGTATGCTCCTTTCGATGTCGTCTTGTACCGATAAAAAATACGCCCCTTTTGATTATGAAGCTCTTTAAGCTCGAGGGCCTGTATCGCAATAAAGAACGGAGCTTCCGTGCTGTACGAGATAAGTTGTATGCATGTGGGTGGGCTGTGGCTGTCAATGGGCTGTGTCGAGTCACACGCCGGGTCCGCAGTCGGCTATGCACCGACCTTACCACGGTATCGCGTGTGTGGTTTGCAAACAACAAGTGTGAAAACCGGTGGAGGGTGGCATGATCTGATCTGATCTGATCCCGTCTATTCACCGACTTCCGGAATCGGTGTGCATACCTACGAAGCACAGTAAACGTCTACCTGGCTTATTGACGCGTCCTTGGCTCGGCAGCCGTTGGTGCTGCTTGATCCATGTCGAGCTGGAGGTGCAGCAGGCTCCCGCAATCGTCTCCTTATCCGTGGTCTATAGTTCGATGCCGCCATGGATGTCATGCAATGCGAGATCTAGGTCCTCGAGCGCGGTGTAGGTATGCAAGTGTATATCGCCACCGGCTGCCTGGAGCGAGCGAGCGAGTGGGGTGGGCGACCGCGCGATGCCTCATACACCAGGCCGAATGACTGCATTCTCCTCTTCCCCCACCCCGATGAGCTGGTGGATAGTGGGTAAGGTAAAAAGTCCTAGATCTGCCTAACGGCGTAGCATAGTCCTAGCCAATGGTAGGACCTCCCGTCCTGCCGTCTACGCACGCCGGGTACGACGGTAGGGAGAAGAGCGATGGCGCTATACCGTTACCGGATCACGGTGAGGGAGGGAGGGAGTGGGACGGTCTAGGACTTGTACCGGCGGGAAGTCATCTTCTCTTTCGCGCATAGAGGGCTGCCACCAGACGGCTGCCTGGCCCTATCAGCTGGTCTGCCAGTCTGCTTATCGCGAATGACCAGAGCTGTCCGGCTGTCCGGGTGCATCGATGGTGTGATCGAGCAGGCAGCAGCAGTCAGGGTGTCTGTGGCTGTGCAAGCTGCAGCCTGCTTCTCAATCCCGACGATTCGAGGTGAGCGGATACGGATCGCCAATGCCCATGCGGGAGATTTTCGAGACAAAGGTGACCCCACGGCGATCTGGCGGGGTCGTCGCACAATTGTTGGTGGGGAGATGGAAAAAAAAAAGAGCGTGATTTTCGATATTGGAGGGGCTATGATGATTGACTCCTCTGGCATTGACGAATTGAAGCTATCGCGACAATGAGTCGTGGTTTGGCAATTGAGAGGCTTGTATTGGGCTGGCAGAAACACCCCGATAGGGCACGTAGAAGCGGTCAAAGGTTGAGGGCATATACATGTTAAGGTTTTGCTATCCTATCTTCCCCCCAACAGGTAATGTAAACAACATCTCACACTGGCTCAAAGCCCAGTTGGTATAATTGGTATCTAGATCCAAGCCATTGTAGTCCCAATCGTATCCCCAATTCAAACAACGCCTTGCCATCTATCCTATCCCCCTGACTGCCTCACTGCATCCTCTAATCATAGCCGTAAACGTAGGTCGGGTAGTATTCCTTTGGTCGCTTCGACGCAGAACCAACTGTGTTCCTGCGACCAATGTTCAGGCGCTCCTTGAGCCGTTGCGCCTGTGCCTCATCCTCGCGTTGCTTGATCTTCTCTGCTTGCCTCGCAAGTCTGCGCCGTTCCACTTCAGGGTCGAGGTTGAGCTGGTTCATTCCAGCTGCTAGGTGGTCGGTTCGGTCGATCACCACCGACCCACGCCGGTAACGCAGGGCTGGTGGTGTAGGCGCTGATGGCATTGCGCTTCGTCCGGCGATTGCTTGATTGGCTTTTGCAATTTCCAGGTTTCGTTGTAGCTCCCGATCGGCATCACGTTCAGCTTTGGCCGCCTTCTCGGCCCGGCGTCGGCGCTCTTCTTCGCTACTGTCGCGCGAGCTGGTCTTGGAAGACGAAGTTCGACGGTGGTGGCTTCTCCTCTGTGGACGGTCGTTGATCACCTCGACTTTTATCGCGGGGCGTAAGTGTGCCGTCGTGGGGCGCTCGCGCTCGCGCTCGTCGACAATGGGCTCGCGATAACGGGGTTGGTGGGTACCAAATCTCTCATCGGCGTTGGGGCTAGACGGCATGCTGCGCGAAAGAGTGTATTGGCGTGGTGGGGTCCGCGACAGTGGTGGGCTGTCAACGTAGACGACGCGGCCGCTTCTCTCGTGTCGCGGTGAGCGTGAGCGCTTGTGGTTGACGTCGAGCACTTTCTGGCCGTTGGTGTAGACTCCGGACCGCCTCTTGCTCGATCGTTCAGAGTCCGAGGCCGAGTGCGAAGACAATGGTGGTGATGGCGGGAATTGCCCATATGGACTTAGCTGCTCCATGTGTCTGTATTCGCTGGAATGTTGGAACTCTTGCACGCGGCCGCATGGCTTCTCATTATAAGAATCGGAACAGAGCTCGTGTCGGGAGAACCGCCCCAGGCGTCCGTCAGGACGGACCTGCGGGTAGACGTGAGTCTCGCACATGGCGGCAGTCGGTAATGTTTCGGTGCGTCTAATGCGCGGTGGGCTGGGTTGAACGATCTGAGGTCTTGGACGAGTCCTGCGGATGGAGTGGTTGGTTTCCAACCCGCTCGAGGGGTCTACAGATGGTTGTCGAAGCACGGGCAGTGATGCCTCGCGCGTATGTTTGTTGTTGTAGAAGGTGTTATTGATGATGACTCTTGGTTGAGAAGCCACTGCGTCGTCGTCGAACGAAGAGTTCAAGTGTCGTGGGTGCTCTGCGTAGTGATGGGGATTCGGATGTGTACTTGGCTGGGCTGGGAAGTGGAAGGTTTAAGTACATTCACCGTAGTCCTAGAGGAAAGTGAAGGGGTAATAACAAGATGCTTATAGCTGGGTGAGGTGGGCAAGGGCTTCGATGAGATTGGAGTAGGAGCTTCAATGGCTTAAGTAGCAGGATGGGCATACAGGGTGACAGGAGCAGGACTTTTTTTGTAGTACGGGGGTGCTGCGCGCAATATGCCAGGGTTCAATGTTACCTCCCTTTACCCACGTATACCCCGGTAGAAACTGGGGTGTTTCTGGGAGGGCCGATGAATCATTTCTGCCGTTCGGGAGCATACCAGAAGGGAAAGGTGCAGTGAAACATGACCAATAATCAATTGGACCTCACAGCCATGCGGCGCAGCCTGGCTGGGTACTGCAGCCTGGGGGGGAGACAGACACACTGACCGACGGCTGAGTGACCCTGCTTGCTGGGGAGGTGTGTGTGTGTGTGTGTGTGTGTGTGTGTGTGCTGCTGCGTGTGGCTTGACATGCAGCATAATGGCGCAGTTGCAAGGTCAACGGAGTAGCATTGCTTCGATTGAGGGAACCCAGCTGAAAGACCACGGCAACCACTCACTCGAGGGTAGCGAATGTATTCGAAACAATATTTGTGATGAGACGCCAACAGCCAAATGGCATCACCTGTTCCAAAATCCCTCGTCAGTCAAAGAAGGTACTGTACATAGTAACAGTACGTAGAGGGGTGGGCGGGACGTTGCTCCATACAGCAAGTAAAAATAAACGCCGATCCCAAAGAATCCTACATCGTCATTGTACACGGTTTTGACGTTCTGCGAACCGCGAAATCTGGCCACTACGCACAGACTGAGACAAGCCCATGACGGAGTAGGAAGAGGAGCATTGAGAATAGGAGAACAACTAGAGGGATGACAGTCACCTGCGGATCCCGACGCATGATGAGATCCGTGGTCTCTTCGATCTAAGACAGATCTCCTACCTTCACCGAGTTGACTCACAGCTGCGGCGCCGCGCCGTTTCGTTTCCTGCGATGCTCCCACACGTACAGCTCCGATCGCATGCGACTTCGCAACACGCCGTTGCTGTAGGTGAGCGTACTGCGGTTCGTCCAGCAGCAACCAATGCGGATAGCTAGAGAGGTGTGACGTGCATTGCAGTGCAGTGCAGTTGGACAGCTCCGTCATGCCGCGTCTTACCATCCCGCCAATCCATCAGCTCACATGCTCCTCCAATGTCATGGGACTCTGCGGACGATTGTGGAGGGCACAGCCATTTCGCCGGCAGCGCTGCTGCTGCAAGGGCGTGAAGAGGACGGACAACCCCGGGAGAAGAATGGTCAATGGATCCCTGACGGGAACGTCGTGTGGGATTGGCCATTGGACAAACCAAGCCCCAGCCGGCCCAACACCTCAGCACGACATTGAACAGCCGCAGCCGCGGCGAAACAAGAGTTGAAGATCTGGAACGATGCTCTCTAGAATGGCACCCCGGACACGTGCGCGGCGGGGAGGCCTGGACTTACGCGACGACTTGTTTGCCATCCAACCTGAAATGGTCGATGGTGTTGCTCCCGGGAAGTTCTGAAGACCAGAGGGGAAAAAAGCATTGCCTGCCTAAATCAGGTTCATCACGTGCGATATCGATTAGAGGAGCTTGACACCATTACAAGAGTCCACCTTGCTACAGTGATACATATATGGTATTTTCTTGGTTATATACTCCTGAAAAGGGGGAATGCAAGAACGTAGCCTTTCCTGCTTCATTTGTCTCAGAGTCCGTTCATTGCAGCTCCGTTGGTATTCCACCGCATGATGAAGGATTCGCGCCTCATTCGTGTTGCGTGTCACGACTCAACCAGTTTTGACGAGGTTATTTGATAATCGCATTGTCTCCCCGCCGTTGGTTGCTTCTGTACCCATTCAAGTACTTGTCTCTCGCCACGACTCATCGAAAACGCCTAGACTTGAGCATCTGACGCGCACCACGCCCTTCATTGCGTACGTATGCATGTGCGTGCTGATGTGGTGTCATCTACATGTAGAGAAGAGTCGAAGTCGCGAAACATAGCCGTGTGCGTCAGCACCATCGACGTCGGCTCTTTCTCAATCATGCGGCATTCCATTCCTCATCGGTCGGCTGGGCGATCAGAGTGCTGACAGCATTTGGTGCTTTCACCCAGCTCTGCCCCGACGTGCTTGCTCGTGACACCCAATGGCAAGCTTGTGAGGGATCTTCCGCGGCCCCCAAATGCGACAGCCTGGCGGAGTGCACCCATCTCGATTAGCCCGCTGACATGCTTAGAAGTCCGCTGCATGAGGCAGGCTTGTCCGGGAGGCAACCGATGCTATCTGATAGCAGATTTTGCAGCTGAACTCCCCCGCGACTCAGCTCCCAAGTGGACTATCAGGCTATCACGATCTCATGATCAGACTCGCAGACTGAACCCCGTGCCCCACACCGGGCAGTCAAAATCAGCCCTACGCTAAGGTAGGTTGACTCTGAATCTCCCATCGGACGACTGGCTGGATCTGGACCTTGTATCCTTGCCTGTCAGATGGAAGCTCTCCCGGGTACGAAACACCAATGGCCTGGACAACGGGCCCTTGGCGACGAAGGGTCTGTAGAATGTCTTGTATCGAGGCGAAGCAGCTCTCTCACCTCTCACTACGTTCTTCTTTCGAAGCAAACCCGCGTTTTGGTAAGCGCTGAGGGTCTTCTTGGGGCTGTGAACTGGCCGTCCTGGTCGCCTGCAGGCTGCAGGCTGCAGCAGGGGCAGTACACATGAATGCAGTTCCACTTCTGAGGCTGAGGACCCGGACTACGCCGTGCTCCCAGCGTTATTAATCAGTGTCCTGTCCGCCACCTTGTCAACGGCCTCACCACTGCGATGACTGCTCGCGAAGAGTTCCGACATCGATACATCGTGGCCTCGTCAAAGCCAGCAACACGTAGACAGCGCTCAGGTCGTACGACCGACCGTCAACACGAATTGGACTCAGGCGCTCTCTCGCATAACGTACGGCGGCACGAGTATATTCATATTCGGCCCCCAATCCGGCTTGCCTGCTTGACTTCTCCCTCCAGGGCGCTTTCGGCGCTCCCGTCGGCAGGCTACGACGTCTTTGGCTCTGCTAACCCTGGAGGGTGTCCGGGGCGTTTCAGCGCCTACTTCAGCTCTCATTTTTGCATGGTTGGCTGGCCTAGGGTGGCAAACGAAACGCAATGGGCGGGACACGTTGGCCCGTTGGTAACGATGCAGCTGGGGAAACCAGGCCGCGCGGTCACGTAAGGGTCACAGTTGGTTCAGCTGACAATGTCAAAGTACACCTATGCCAATTGGCCAGACATACATCGGTGTCACGAAGGCGGCTCGCTCTTCTGGCACGACAGAGCAGAGCCAATACTCAGACGCTCGAAGCGCCAATGGACTCTTCAAATCGCTCCGTCCTATCACCATCTGCACGGACAAGAGCCTGCATTTCGCTACTATTGTGCGACAGTGGAAAACAAATGTTTCAATCCTTAACATTTGCCTGATGTTGGAGAATGCCCTCCTGCACCTGGTAGCCGAACACGCTCGCTACAGGCCTCCAATAGGCCTGTGTATATCTGCTGGCCCTGTCCATGCGCAGCCTTGCTTACTTGCATGGAACGGTACTGCACTCCCAGGTCTTGTGCATGATCATGGCAAACAATGCTACGTAGGTCATGAGCCTGGGTCAGGTCGCAGCATTTTCACAGCTGACCGCTGGTGCTGCGCGTTGCGGTGGCACACTCGAGGTGCCTCCCCTCTCACCGATATTGAAACGGCAGCTTGTAATGGATCATTGGAGGAATTCATATCCGTAGAAACTCAACTGTGGCGTATGCAATGGCACTCTGCCAGGCTGTTCGGACGTGGAGTGTATGTCATTCAACGATTTGACATTGATAAAATGCACAGCATGTCTGGCATTTTGTCCAATGGTTGCACCTCTGCCATAGCACAACACTAGGAGTTCAATATCGAATCACTGCATGTGTAAGCACATATTTCGGTGAACAAGGGGTATTCAAGTGGTCGAGCAGTAGCACTGAAGTCGCTTTCGTAGTGCACCATCATGATATCCAATGGCGGCGGCCAGACTAAGGCTGGCGCATTTCATCTGCACAACAAGGTCTTCCCTCAATCAAACACTAACACGAACTGCATAGCATCGGTGAGCCGCAGCTCTTGGTTGGGATTTAAATGCCAATGATGCTAGCGGTTGTCCTGTCCAGCTCGCAGCGTAATGTCGACAGTAATATTAGCCTGCCTTCCTTTCTCTTGCGATGGAAGCCTAGTTCCTACAGAAGGTCTGAGCTAGTCAGTTTAACATGTGTAGAAGATTTCCATATGGCCTGGCTATGCCCAAAAGCCGTGTCCGCGATGCTTAGACTTCTACTATGGAAACATGAAGATATACTACAAATGCTTATTCATGAAGGTGAAACGTGGTCAACTTATTCACCAGAGTGGCTACCTATCTTTACTATCTTCGGAAGTCACTGCTTTCCACGCCAGGCTCTGCTTATCAACACAACACATGACAGCTTTAATTGCACGCTGCACCCAAGGGTTGACGTGCTCCTTGCCCTTTGGGATATCCGCAAAAAATCTGACGACAGCCAACCTAGGCAAGCCGCAAGTGGTGTAGCCTAGCCCATTTATGGGGTTGTTCGCACAGCTGTGACTCCGA